TTCTGTTAAATTATCGTTAATGATTCCACGTCTTATGGGTCATACAACCTTACCAAGGCTACGCAGCCCACCTGACAAAATTGTTCCATTTTGCCCTGAAGATTTTCCCCTTTTCTGTGTTTCATTGGGTGAAAGGTTGAATGGGCGCTACACCAGACTCAAGAAAACCACAGATCTCGAGATTGTTTCTGACCAAGTAAAAGTGAGCAAACAGATTTTTCTACACCAGTTCAGCCATCCTCAATTTTTCCCGTGACCTGAGTCACAGCCGAGCACTTACTGGGTGATGTGTTATGGTGAGACTGTCAGAATAAAAGCAAGCGAGGAAAACTAATCCTCAGAGGAGAGCAATATGTTCCCACTTGTGATTTAGTCTCACAGTGAAGAGGTTGTCAAGGGGTTTGTGATCCTGGAGATTGATTGTGGGGGGAGCCTGCTCAGCGCACAGTGCCACTGGCAGTCATCAGCTAAAGCTGCCTAATGATGCCAGCCGGAGTGGCCAGGGGAATCCTCTCCTGTGAGGTAGCCAGAAGAGTTAAATTGCTTCCAGAACTGAATCCATTAGGTGCTTATAGTTATTAGTGTAAGGTACCATAATGACTAAAAGTACTTCAAGAGTAATTCAGTCTGAAACCCCTTTCAGGTGAAAGGTGTTAGATACATCCCGACTGAGCTGCAGGTGGATGTGGCGGCAAATCTGGACACTGAATCTCATCGCTGTATGGGGACAAGCACTACTGGGAAAACTCTCTCTCTTCTTTCCCATTGAAAATATTCTTGGATATTTATTGTTGAGGTAAAGGGAAATTTAGGATTAAATTGCTAAATTAGTTAGATGCACATTATTTAGATGCCCAAGGGTTGTTTTTTTTGGTTTTGTTTTTTTTTTTTTAATATTTGGTTCTTATGTTTTAAGTCGATCCAAAAGTTAGGTCATGGTATAAGCTATAGGAAAATCACTGTGTCACTTGCTACACGATAAAGGGTTGATTTGACTGTGCAAAGATTTGAGTTTAGGGCTTGAGTGTTTTAAAAAAAAATCTTCCTTATACCATTAGCTATATGTTGAATTAGAGCAATAAGAAAGTCTTTATGAATGCTTGTCACTATTTTAATGTGTCTGTAATGAAAAGCAACAACAATAATATCTTTACCACTCAATGGAAACTAGCTTGGTTTTGCGGTGTTAGACAGCTGGGAAAGGAAGATTCTCTTCTATAAAAGAAGGTGGCAAATGAAATTCTATTGCTATTAAAAGCAATTAATTTTAAAACGTTTGACAATTTTAAGTTAATCAGGTAGTTGATTTCATGATTAGTTTCTGCAAAACTTATGAGACAATTAAACAAAAAAATCCTGTTGGTCTTCATGCATTCCAAATAAAGCTCAGACACATTATTTGAGACTCTTTACGTCATCCAGCCATCGAAGTGACAATTTCCTCACAGGTTGTTAAATGCACTTATTTATAGACGCTACTCACTTTCTTTAGTGATTTATTCTTCTTTGCAACTAAATGTAGTGACTGCGATCCCTGGATATTGTTCAGGCATTTTTCCTCAAAGAGGTTGAATAAAATGACACAAATCCTGCTGGGCAGCTGATACCATCAAAATGTCAGACTTTAAGAAACCTCCCATGGTTTCAGCAAACCATGTTTGTCAAGCAAAGTGATTAAAGTCAGATTTTGGAAGTTCTACTCCTATCACTCTAGCTGATCTGCATCTACCCTAATGCATTGCAAGGGCGTGCCTGGAATTAAATTACGGCCATCTACTCAGTCTTTCCCAAACTATTCATGTAACAGCAATCTGCTGCTGGAGCCAGGTTCATAGCTTCTTGACACAAATGCTTGCTAACACTGAATCTGATGATGATGATGATAATAACAACATGACTGGGAAAATGCAGAGGAAAATAACACTTAATATCCGATGGGCTCACGTCGGTTGCAAACAGTAATCAAAAGGGGAAGTTATAACCCAGCAATTACATGTTCACAAACAATGATGTTTTCACCGTATGTAAACAAGTCCATTTGCACACATGGAAACAAGGTGTATATGATAGCAAATAAAAAAAAGTTCATTTAATAAGATTGTTGAGAAATACTGGGTTTGGTAAAAGTATCTGTATCATCCAAACTTACAATCAGCTGACTGAGCAGGTTGGAAAGAGTCTTGGAGGAGGCAGCAGTGGATACCCCACTACTAAATGAAGATTGTTCAGGAAATGTTTCTCCATGTTTCCTTTTCCATTTGATTTTTCTACTGGTATATCTACATATAGCTATTTTAATTTCACTGGGGTTTTTGTTATTTAATTTTGAACTATATTTCATTTGCGTATTCTAATTTGTAGATGTGCAAAAGGGCACACATCCCAGTAATTAACTATTTTACAAACCAGATCTGTAGTACACAAAAGTTATGATGCTCCTGAACAATGCACGTTTCTGTGCAAGAATAAATTCTAAAGTGCACATCAGCGTTGGACCCATGGTTGTGCCCGTAGCCCACATAACTGTATATATAAAAAGCCAATCAGATGTGCAATGTGTGGTATTAGCCATCTTGTAACCGCAGCAGAAGTAGAACTGGAATTTCACTCTACGCCTGGCAGCTAGGGACAACCAAGACCATTGCTTTTATACAGATTTGCTATGCTTGATGAAGTAATAATCACTAAATGTTTAACAAATACCAGAGCTATACAAAATACACGCTGAATTAATATTTTATGTTGTACAACTTGCTGTAACATGCATTCACTTTCAATCTAGAACTTCCTAGAGTATATTAGAAACTAGGGCCTTCGTGTTGGTTACTGGGACAGAATTTCTCACTGGGGCAATCCTGCCCTCAGGTACCCCGCGCTCCAGCCAGTTTGACACCAGGCTGAGGTGAAGGTACGCTGGTCCAGGAGGCACTCCGCGAGCCACAACAAAGTTCAAGATATCAGAGTAATGCAACAAAGCTCCTCTGGTCCCACCACCCCTCCAGCTCTGAGAGCTGCGCTTCAGTCTCTGTAATCCCCTTCCCCATAAACACCTCTATTTATTGCGCTCAAAATGTTGCGCTGGCCTCATCCGTCATCCCGAAAGACGAGGCTTGCTGGCTGTCACAGCTCAAACCTCCTGCCCCTTCATGGAGAAATACAGCTGAAAATCAGACAAACCCCTCTCCAGCCCACGGGGAGAGCAGCCATTCCCCCCACGCTGAGGGAGGACCAGGCTGGCTCAGCGTGGGCCCCGCAGTAGAGACCACCCCTCCATAATTCTGATTTACCGCCCGTTTATTTGCTTCTATCTGTTTGTGTCTTTCACTAATTAGTGGGTTTTGCCTTTTTGAAACTCAAATAGCCCAAGTTATTTGGGAAAGCCTTTAAAACACCTAAGCATGTGGGAGTTTCGAAAGGCTTCCAGACTGACAATCTCGGAAAACTCACGAAGTTTTTCACACATTTTTAATACCGCCCTCTGTCAGGGTATCCCATTTCCATGTTTCAAGAGCTCAAAAGCAAGCAGAAGTCAGGTGGTGTGGTATTTTCTCCACATAAGTTGCCCTCTGAGCATTCGGTGACACTACTTTGCTGACTTTCCCTTCCACAAGCTGGATGGCTCGAGCGTGGCGTCTAGGCTGTCTGTTCGCTCAGCCCTTGGGAACCCAAAGGCGTTACAAACAGCAGCGTTTCGGGCACGATTTGATTTTTAGATATTAGCCACGATATTACAGCAGGGAATGACTGTCAATGGCCACCGGCTTGGGGTGCCCCCAGCCAGCCCGCCCTGTCACAGCCCGGCCCC